TCCAATCACGGTAATGTCCTCTGATTGGCTGACGTCATCGGATCTAATTCCTGCAATTTCCCAATTGCCGATCAAAGTCGCCGGAATCGTTGATTGCGCATACGGTACACGATAGGATTCTAAACTCAAAGTACGAAAGTACCGGAAGCACGCGTTCGTAAAGTTGTTGCTGCAACTTCGTCGACAATAAGTACCACATGTGTTTCTCACATGCAGAGTATATATATATATATATATATATAATTCACACTAAATTATTTTAAAGCATTAAAGATCTAGCTTTGACCAATGCTTCTAGTTTATCGATTGTGTTTCACACATTTACGGTTTAAAATAATATTCTGTTTGTTTCCTACAAAAGTTATGAAGTTTTAAATGATGTATTCACTGATTTAGTCAGTCTAACTTGGGTGACACCAAGGTCAGGTCAAGGTCACATCGATTTTTTTAAATAGCATACCCTATTTTTGATTCTAGAATCTAATAACTAAGTGTCAAAAGCTTTTCAAAACACTACAATAAAGTCATTTTTCATGAAGTACTTTTCGAGTTATGTGGCTTGAAAGTCACAGTATCGCCAGTATCTAAAACATTTCAGCAACAACGTTGTAACATTACTGAAATGTTTCTTGTTTGTGGGCAATTTTTAGTGCAAAAATGAAAATAAAAGGTATAACTTCTAATGATCTTGATCTTGACAAATATTATCGAGGACATAATCCTAAACAACATTTTAGCCGTCGATAGAATATCTTGCGTAATATTAATGCCGGCGGTACTGTCACTTTCAAATCTTGAAAAGTATAAAATGTATGCTTTTCAAAACACTACTTATTCATGAAAAGTAATATTATTGTAGTGTTTCGAAAAGCTCTTGACCAACTATCAGATTCTAGAATAAAAAATAGAGTATGCCATTTAAAAAAATCAATGTGATCTTGATCTGACCTTAGCGACGTCAGACTGATCAAATCAGTGAATAGGTCATTTAAATCCTATAATTTTTATAGGATTTAAATTTCTTTCGGAAATGCTTAGTTTTCGAGATAGTTCACTGGTCTGGAACTTTTTACTCACCTTGTATATCATGTATAAAAATCTGTTAATAGAAAGTTCCATTCTTTGTAACTCTTTCCTGCTACTTGACTTCTCGCTTGAAGAGTAACTGCTTTTTTCATAAAAATACAATAATTTCTTACGATACTTTTATTAGAATCAATTTCTCTTAATAACAATTAAAGCATAAATGTGAAATTTTGAATATATAGTGCCCACTAAAATTGCCCTCACCTAAATAATTTCTGAGTGGTTCAAGATATAAGATTGAAACTTATAGAGATATAATGAAATCATAAAATCTATTTTACCTCGAAAGCATATTATACTTTAATACTTCCAGGGGGCAGAGGAAATCAGAAAATTTTAAATGGCATGTGACGTCGAATGAGGGCTCGTTTGAAAGCTTTCCGCGAAGAAACGTGAGATAGCCGAGATCTCTACGATTTTTTTCGCAGAGTTATTAATGTTATCTAAATTTTGCGACAACGAAAGTCACGGCGAAGAAGATAAAGCTTCACATGAACAAGCATATTTCTGAGTGAATGGGAGAGCATGTGATATGCGTGCGTGCGCGCGCGCGCGTGTGTGTGTGTGTGTGTGTGTGTGTGTGTGTGTGTTCAAATAAATGCAATCAATCTGATATGCAATCAATAAAAAAAATAAGCTCTTTCAGTTGTTTATAGTAATAAGTGATTCACTCTTGCTTGTATAGTGTCCACTTGTACGTTCTGTATCGTCTCTACGTCAAATTATAGCTGAAGTTCATATTTTAGATAATATGATATGACCATATGGTTTTACACATGAGATATAAATATAATATAATACCGAGCTAACAATGTTACGTCAAAATGACATCATTTTTCGGCCCGTAAACGTTGTCACTTAAACATCGCTATGACGTGAACGTGATTATCAAAGTCTACTAATGTCATTATTGTTACATCATAATGACGTAATTGATGTAAAAGTGACATTTACCCTGTAAATAAGCTAACGTTATTTATCATTTTGACTTTAAAATGACCTAAAAATGATAACAAATAATATGAATTTTACTCAATTTTCAGACGTATCAATTGCGGTATTTTATAGTGACTTTACAATTAAGTAGCACAACAGTCCCTGTAATACAGGGTCTACAATAGAATTCGTAGTGGTCATATAAGGTTGTCTTAGAAAATTCACTAATCATAGTAGATTATTCTTCTCATATTGAATATGATTGATGAATTTTCTACAACTTAAGATCCTACGACCACTACGACTTCTATATTGTAGACCACGTAAAGTGCTAATAAAACGCTTATATACACTTTATATAGTGCCTTTTTTTAGCCGCTGTGTGCCGCTTGGGAATAAAGCTCTAGATACATCAAAATAGCGCAAAGGTCCTCCATTTTTTATCTGTTAACCACAGCATATTAAAGTACAATCTTTTTTTTTTACTTAAAAATTTTATTTGAATATAATAGGGGAATGTCTAAATCGAACCGTTCCAAATAGAACCTTTTTAATTTAGACGAATACGATTAAGCAGATTTGCATGTTATTTATAATGTAAAGTCCTTAGAGATCTTAAGACATCGAACATGTAACAGCAGTTTGACAGTTCTCTGTCATAATGTTCATAGAATAGATGCAAATATGTATTTTCAGCTATCGTTAAGCAAAAATTTTTTTAAAAAAGAAAATCTTTGTAAATCATTATTTAAACGTTAAAAATTTGAAAGGTAATTGATTTAAGATAATTAAAGAATGTAGAATTCAAAAATATCAAGCGTTTTATGCGGTTTATTGTAAAATTTGTTCTAAAAGTTCGAAAAGATCTGTGCCCAAATCGAACCTATAGTAGATAACAACAGGCATTTGTCCATTGGATCTTGATGTTTCCCAAGAAATTGACTTCCTGTTCAGCAATTGATCGGCCAAGCGAACATAGCGAGATAAAAGAAAATGAAACATTGCAATCTATTTGTCCACTTCCAAAAGCGATTCCATGTAAAAATACTGGTCGGGGACGAAAAATCGGAAAAAATAATTATTTTAACTGATGATACTGCGATTTAAACTATTACTATAGAGGAAGCAATGAAACAAATGCATTAACAAAAAAAAAATGCGAGATCAAGAAAAAAGTCAAGTAAATCAACTAATTCATTGAAGAAAAAAGATTCCCCACAATCTGATTGTAATACTGGTCATCAACCGACCAGATCTGATCTAAAGAACATTAAATCAATAAAATATCAAGAGTCATTAGATAAATTAATATTAATTGAATATTTTATTGATTTCAATTTTA